GGTTTGATTAAACGTTGCATCTAATGCATTCTTGACATTTTATCTCTTTTGCCACGACATCTAAGGACTCCTTACTGATATCATTAACTTAACCAAGACCAACTCGTATACCTAGTATACCTTACGTTCCTAGGGAAGTAGTCATGCCTCGCTTTGGCGTAGCCCATCACGTACGTGCATTAGTTCGGTAAGTGTTGTTCTTGGAACGGCAAATTTTAGCTCAATATTTTAAGGGACCTAGGGTTTCTATGTTGGTTGATTTAAGTGAACTTAACTAATCATCGCAACATTTGAAATCCTAGACATGCATCTAACATTCAATTATATATAAGAAAAATAATATATATGAAGCATAAAAATAGATGCATTTGGCAACTAGCATGACCCCTTGAAATCTTCAAGGGTCTTCATCTTGGCTCGTCTTCATGGAAACACCGTCTTGAGACATCTTCGCCAAAATAAAATTACTAGCTACTACGACTAGTATTAATCTAGATATTAAGGTACAAAAATACTCAACGGTACGCAGACCGTATTTAGATTTACAAAAATACATAACGGATCGCAATCCGTATTTTCTATCCTAATCGGGCCCCACTAGTTGCCATTTTCACGAAACCTGTGAAACAAGCTTTCATTCACCCATTCACTATATGTGAATGGCCCATGCATTTTACGACGAAAAACAAGTAAAAATGCACAACACGCGAAAACTAGTAACTAACTTAGGTTGTTAATCCGATTAACACGCCTAATTAAAACTAATCAAATTTGTTTAATCGTATTATGTTTCTAAGGCGCAATTTGTTCACGAAAATTCATAAGCTCCCACTAAATTCCGCATCCAACTTAATTAATCTAATTAATTAAGCCGGTAAACCCAAATTTGTCAAAATTAAAATTTTGCAAAAGCCGGAAAAATCAAGGTCTAACCTTGTTAAAATTTTTAAATAAAATTAAAACGGCAAAATTTTGCAAAAGACGATAGCCCAAAAATCAAGCAAAAATGTCCACCCTCAAAACACAAGGGCTGCGCACCATGGCTGCTAGGCAACCCATGCATTGCGTGTGGTGCTGGCTGCTAGCAAGCTCGCCTAGCGCAGCTTGCCATGCTCGCTAGCACCAGCAGCATGCTACGTATGCTAGCAGCTCGCTGGCACTGGCAGCAGTGGGCTGGCTAGCTGGCTTGCTGCCTCGCTGCCTAGCAGCACGCACAAGCTCTCCATCAGCCTAAGGCCACGCATCCAGCACTACGGCAGCACGCAACAGCACCCTTCGCCACACATTGCACAGCAGCACCTCGAGGCTTAAGCACCCCTTGTGTGCATCAAGGCAGCCACATGTGGGCTACTAGGAAGCCCGGCTAGCCTTGGTGACGCTTGGGTGTTTTTGCCTCGATTTGTGTGCCGTTTCTCGGGATTTTAATCCCGATTTACGTGTGACATAAAATTAATTCTAAATTTATTTTAGAATCAATTTAGGGGAAAATGAAAATAAAATAAGTCCAACTTAATTAAATTCAATTTTAATGGTGCACAAGCCTAAATTATCCAAAATTACCCTTTTGAAATAATTTAGGTCTTTCTTGATGCTTTAAAATTGAAGGGCTATACCCAAAATTAATTTGACCAATATGCAAATTAATAATGATTTTGACAAAGTAGGGAGTTGGAAAATAAAACCAATCATCCAATGAAATTTTTTTCCAACTTTTAACTTGTGTAAAATAATAAAATTACATCTTCCAATATGAAGATTAATCAAGATTTAAACACAAGTACGTGAACTTTAAGGACTTTAATCAACACAATAATAATTAAATCCAAAATTAGTTCAACCATGGAATTTAGAATCAAAGTTCGAACCATTTAAACACTTAAAGATTGGATCTTTAATATACAAGGAACTTAAAATTTCACTTTCACAATAAACATTCACACTTTAATGCAATTTATTTGCATGATTGTGAAATAACAAGCTATGTGAAAAAATGAACACACCAACTTAAGCACACATTACGACTTCATAACCATGCTTAAAAGGGTTTATAATTGTAGTAGAATAGGGATGCAACCATACATTTAATCTACCCTTAACATGCATAAATTAATCAAGGCATAAAGATTTAAAAAATTTCGTCAAAAACGAAAAAACCCCTCGAAAAACATATTTCAGGGTGGATTTTGGCTTCTGGACAAACCTAAAAGGGCCAGAAACGATTTAGAACATCGATTCCACCCAAAATCACTATTTTTGAGTCAAAATCTGGGTTCGACAGCCAAAATAAGAAAAATACGAGTTTTAAAATTAATTAAAACGAGCTTCTAATCTAATTAGAAAGCACAACCAGAAATTTAAATCCATTTTAAATCACCTTAATTAATTACATATTGCAATAATTAAAAAAGAGCGCGGCTCCGATACCGCTGTTGGGTTTCGTAGCGTCCAACGCTACGCGGAAGAGAAACCCGCCCAAGACCCGCCCCAATAATTAAAGCAATAAAGCATGCAGAAACATAATTAAACAATAATTAAGAAAAGGGATAAAGAAGTGATACCCTTGAAGCGTGTTTCGCTCGCAAACCGAGCTCTTACTTCGAAGCTATTAAGCCTCACAAGCATGACAGCCTCCAACGGCTCGTACCCACGACCCGACCCGAACGATCTTCGTCTCGTGGGTTAGTCGAGACTTGACCAAGTATAAAACTAGAGTTTTACGAACTTAAAGGTTTTCTCAATATCAAGAGATGCCTTTTTTAGTTCCACTCAAGTTGTTTTCCCAAATGCATAATATTGGGGTATTTATAGGGAATGGCAACTTGTATCCCCACTTCATGATCAATGTGGGATAGTTGCATTTTTCACTAATTTATTTAATTCCAAAATAAATCATAAAACAATGCAATTACAAATCAACAAGTGGCATGAGGAGAGGAGAGGTTAGGTGAGGACCATAACCATGGGGGGGACCATTTCCTTGCTCCCCAAGGCATGGCTCTAAGCCTTGGTCCCCACTCTCCTCAAACCGGCTTCAAGCAAGGAGGGTGAGCTAGCTGCCAGCCTTGCTGGCCAACATGCATTGCCAGCACGCACAGCTGGCATGCTTCAGCCCCTAGCCAGCGCATGCGTGCTGCTAGCGAGCCACGTATGCTGTTGTGCTAGGCGAGGTATCGCTGCTCGCTGCATGTTGCTGTGCGAGGCTCCTAGCTGCTGCTTCGCTGCTTGCTGCTTGGTGCTGCCATGCGAAGGCACGCACACAAGCAAGCAAGCACAGCGTGCTGCTGCTGCGATGGCCTACACGCACACGCACACACGCACAGGCCTAGCCATGTGATAGTGTTGTGCTATGCGTAGGCACGCACGCAAGCACGCATGGTGCTGCGATGGTGCTGCCATGCGAGGCACGCACACACGCAAGCACCTAGTACTAGCGACGGTGCTGCCTTGTGCGCCTAGCACGCATGGTGCGCCTAGCACACACATGGTGTGCCTAGGCTTGCGCCTAGCCATGCGAAGTGCATGCTAGCTCAAGCTAGCCTAGCGTCCACATGGCTAGGCCAATGTGATGCTACGGCTACGCTCGAACTTGTTGATTTTACGACGCTCGGTCTCGACGCCCTAGGCTCGATATCCGACGTCTGTGTTCGTAATACTCTAGTGACTCATCAAATCCTTCGGATTGACATCGATTCGGATCGGCAGTTTGTTTGGGTTCGACCCGAAGGGTTCAGTCAAGACAAAGCTGTAATATTAATTACAGATCGAAAGTGGCCTTCACCAAGGCATTCCGATCACTTGATCTCACTGAAGAATTAGCTTCCTGATAATTCTGAACCCTCTATCAGAATAATTCACTTGTTGGAAGGACACCATTCCTTTCAAAACAGTGGAGCATAATTGTTGAAATCGCTGCAAGTGATTAATTGGCTCGTCAGTAGGATGTCTACTAAAGTGATATCTGGCATTTTGAGACCCGTTGGAATGCTATCTTGGGATGGTACCCCGAAAGAATTCAGAGACCTATTATCAGCCATCTCTTGTTGTATGTCAGACTGTGTCATAGGACTCTTCTACGAATGGGTCTTTTTTTGCTTTCCTTTCCTTTGCTTTTTGATTTGCCTAAGGGTCTTATCCAAGTCTGGATCCATAGGGATCAAATCACCTGTTCGTTTTGACCTGGGCATAAACGAAAAGAAAAGAAAACAATGAGAATGCCCCAATTAGAACTGAAAGTTCCAATGAGACAATGGAAATAGTTCAAACAATCAAACTAAAACTAATAGAATCTAGCCGTCTCCCCGGAAACGACGCCAAAAACTTGATGAATAAAAAGTTATACCGCAAGTGCATGGTGTCTATTGTTAGCAGAGACTTAGAAAATACGGGTCGAATCCCACATGGAGACAGGTTCTATTAGTTTTTACCTAATTATTATAAACTATTTCAATAAACAAAGAGTGATTTGGTAAACAATTATTTAAACTAGGACAATATTGCAAATAAGGTTGTTCTCAAATAAATAAAGGTCTAGGGCATACGTTCGGTCCACCATGTTATACCAATCCAAGAAATGCAAACAATTCATTAATAAACAAACTAGGTAGAATAATTAAAGCATATGTTAATCCTATGGTCGGGAATTAATGTTTAAAAATTAACATATGTAGTTCGGTCACTAACATAATCAAATTCGCCAATTGTAATTAAGCCACTAAAAATATGATCTTTCAATTCTAATTTTTATTAGCTAAATAATCAACTCATGATATTGGCCAAGTACATGAATCAAACAATAAAGCACAAATCAATTGGAATCATTCAAACCCTAATTCATGAATTTATAAATAATTAAGCACAAATAATCAAGGTATAAACATGGCTTCCCTCACTTAGCCCTAGAAAACGACTACTCACTCATAATTGAAATAAACAAAAGTAATAAATAAACTTGAATTCATAATTATTAGAATAAAATACAAAAAAATGAATCAAATGTCGAATTAATGAAGAACAATAATCTAGGGTTCAACAATGGAGAAGAAAACTAAAAGAACATTCAAGCATAAAATAAAGCATAAGAGGAAAAATAAAATCCTCTCAAATATTTACATTTTTGCTTCATTCTAAATAAAATAATTAAATAAGTACATAAGCTATGATGGTATTGGATGATAAGTGATGATGTGGCACGATATTTGACTTGATCACATCAAACGGCCAAGAAACGCTGGAGCAACAAGGAGCTATATGTAACACCCTGGAAATTACTCCCCTTTTGAAATACATGTTTTACCCTTTTAAATACAAAATAGGAAATGACCAAGGCATTACCGCCACCGTGATAACGACTAAGGCAGTTATCAAAGATACACAGCTGAAGACATTTTCAAAACCTTACAAAACAAAGTCAAAGTCCAACAGTCCACCAAACAAAAGTAAAGTCAAACAAAGTCAAATCTACAATTTGGAACCATTGTAGGGCTTTTCAAAACCAAACGAATATTTAAAAGTAATGTGTTAGTCTCATTAAATAGCAATAATAAACCAATAATCAATTGTAAACACAAATTCAAGATAAAACTAAAGTAAGGTTCGCTCTTCGCTCAAACCCCCAACATGAATATGCTGCAACACCTGAAAAGCTTCTCTTTAACTGTCCCTACTACTCACCATAAGAAATGGGTCGTCGTAGGGCCAAGATAAAGACAAGGCCAAATACACACGAAACACAACAATCAGCAATGCTGAGTACATAAGCGTAAACAGTACACACTAACATGCTTTCATCCTATCATCACATAACTTACCTTGTTGCACCTGTTCACAAGCATACAACATATGACACAACCAACCAATAAGCTAATAAACTGCTTATTTATTTTGATTACACATCGAACGGGTTTCCCCCTAACCTGCCCCAATAAAGGGGTACTAACACGGGAGCTAACCGTGCCAGTATAAAAGAACCACTCGTAAGTGGCGGAATTCCTGCGCATAATAAAAAGGAATGTACAGCGTCCTGTACTCCCGAAAGAAGTTGTGGTCAAATATAAAGTCGCATAACTCCCCCCATATGTTCATACTCAAGGTATATACGTTCTTAGAGTTTTGGTACGTAATCTCTTTCACTTTACGTTATTTACATATTTTTAGACTTGGTGATGACTCTCAAACCATAATACAATTAATCATTATAATTCATTCAAGCAATCAAACATACCAATTTAATTCTTAAATAATTAGTGACCACATAAATTTAATGTTGAATCCTTTTTAAAGTACCTCGGTGCTAAAAAACACCTTAAGCGCACTTAAGCACCCAAAATATAATTTAATCCTCCCGTACATATACACTTGAATAGCTCATTTCTCATGCTTATAGCATCAATAAAAATTATATGAAGCATAATAAAATTCTCTTTCAATATTCCAAACTCAATTAAACATTCAGTTTAATTAAACATGTTCTCTATCATGCCAATAATAAAAGTGTAGATCAAAATCAACATGCCAACATAGTTAATTCCAATCATCAATTCACCACAAATAATCCATACTTCACAAATCAATCACCAACATCAATCCAATCAATAATTCCAACCAATACCTGTCATGATACTACCTTGGAATTAATTAAACAAACTCTAGCATGCTTCTACACACTTAAATAATTACCGAGTACGCGAACGTACCTCAAATAAGCCCTTAAAGTAGCCGAATACACTACAACACTTCTCGAACCAAGTATATATCCTACATAAAAGGACAATAACCCTATATTAATTACCCTAGTATACACAATTTCCAGCAACTCAAACTCACTTTAAACAACTTATAATAATATGAAAATTATTTTAAAACCCTTAATTAAACTCCTCCTTAATGGGTGATTACACCCTTTTTATAAAATCATCAAAACCAACACTTAGGGCCAATTTTCAGCATTATAAACTAATCAAAAACCCCTTAAAACTTCATCAAAACATACTTTTATACTCAATTATCAATTAGAAACTCTAAGTATACAAATCCCCAAATTTATTTGATATTAGAACCATAAAAATCACGTCTTTAAATAAATTAAAACTTTAATTATAAAATCATGAAAATCTGAAATTTTTATCCCTTTAATAAGTCTAAAAAAATATAATCTTAAGTTATAAAACATAACTATACTAATTAATCATGCTTAGAAAAGTAGAGTCAAAACTAATTGCAAAATATGTATATAAATATACTAGGTACTTTTAAACAAGGAAGAAGAGATAAAGGGAAAGTCACACAAGGTTGGTAGCAGCGGCAACATCGTAGGTGGAAGGAGGTCGCCGATGGTGGGTTCGTAGCGCTGGTAAAGTGGCCGGGCCACACGGCAGCAGCCGTACCGCAATAATGCGGGCTGCAATCTCACGCAAGGAGAAAAAAAAATAAAGGAAGGAAAAAAAAAAAAGAAAGAATAGAAAAAAAAACTTACCCCTTTGATCTTTGTGTGGCAAATTTTTGGGGATTAAAGGAGTATTTATAGTGTAGGGTAGATTGGGTAGGTTTGAGCTTATAGAAATGACGGACATAAGTGATAAAATATTAGGCCCACATATATAAGTAGGATTAGTGGGCTAATTAAATAGATAAGCTATAACATAATTAAGTAAGTATTTTTCAAATACAAAACTCATTTTATTTAAAGCCCATAATTAAATTATCTTGGCCAAAAATGTATTTTATAAATAAATAAATAATTCATTAGATACATTAAAAATACGGGTTATTACACTATAGCTCGTTGCGAGTGAGCTCTTGCTCACTGATGTTGTGAAGGTTAGCAGGGGCGAGCTATCGCTCCCTCGTTGAATGTAGCTACTGCCTTGACGAGCTAGCAGGCGAGCTATAGCTCGCATAGGACTTTGCATACAGCAGCGATGAGCTAGCAGGCAAGCTATCAGGCGAGCGATAGCTCGCAGCTTCCTGACTTGCGGCCTTACTGAGCTAGTGCTCGAACTTAGGTTGATGCAATAATGCTTAGCAACTCGAATAGTCAATGCACAAAAGGCCTGAAACGATCACGTGCTTGTAATAAGGACTACGAAACAACTCCATTCGCTTTTAGGAATCTACATACATATATAAGCACAAGGTCAATAAATCATCGGCCTCAAATTAACATCCTTCCATCCAACGACTATTCGACAAATGCTGAATTACCTGAAACATTAAGAAAACACAAACGGAGCATAATACAGCACGGTAATGATAACCTAGCATAAACAACTCTAAACTAGCGACTAAGAGACTAAGAAGTAACCAAAAAATAGCAAAAAATGTGCCTAACAATCCTATATAAATATGATTTATCAGTTTTCCGGCAAAAGAGAGAGGATGGGTAGATAGAGAAAGAATCATAATCTAATAGGAGCGAGAAAAAGGCCACCGATATCTTGACTTTTGGCTAAAATACAAGGTATCACTTGACAATAAGTAGATTATAAACGACACTTTTCCACAAAAAAAATTTATAAAAGGCAGTCTTCCACAAAAAACATGTTTTAAAAGGTAATGTTTAATAAAAATCCTAAATTAAAATTATCAATATGTCACAACATTTTATGTAGGGGCGTTCATAATCGCGTACCCGTTATTGTGGGTGCTCGCATATGCGGGTTGTTGATTTCACTACCCATACCTTATGCGAGGAGGGTAGCCCGTTGTTAGGGTTCCCATCCATTGCCTCGTTGTCTAAGGCCTTTTAAAGCCTAGGACTTTTCAATTTAAATGCATTAGGATTAGAATTCCTAACTTCTTGGGAGTCATTGGTATGAGAGGAACCAAGCATTAATTTTTTATATAATACTAAATAGAGAGTCGCTAATGAATTTTCAGGAAGAAACTCCTAAACTCCATTTGCACTTTTCTCCCAAGTAGATTGCAAGGGATATTAGTACAAAGCACGAATTTTTCTTTTAATCCTTTAAAAGGATCGCCCAAGCAATAGTCTTGCAAACCAAATGTTAGATCCGAGAGCAAGGTACTTGAATGACGTTCTTTTTAAGGGAAGCGGTCATTCTAGCCCTAAAACAGCGCGGCCTCTACTAGATTTTTTTGTTCGCATTTTCATTATTAGGCAATATATGCAACGTGACACCTAAAACTAAGTTATGAGTTGATTTTATTTACAAGCAAAAGGCACAAATTAGATACATTGCAAAAAAAGTCTTTATTCATATTTATTCTAATTAGGGGTGAGCAAAACCGGGTACCCGTCAGTTTTAATGGACCCGGAACTCGACCCGGTAATAACCGGGTCTAAGATTTTGGAACCAGAACTGGAACTGGTTGTAACCGGGTCCCGTAGTGGCGGAACTGGTCGAAACCGGTTCTTAATCCGGGTACCCGGTTCTTTTTATTTCAAATGTATTTTTTGTACAACATCTACTTAAAAAAATCAAATTAAAATAAAAAACAAAATGGATGAGTTTCTGAAAATTACAACTAAAATTACAATCTAAAAATCTAAAATTACAACTAAACTTAATAAAATATTCTGAAAATTTAATAAAATAAAAATAAATATAACGTTTAACCTAAATTAAAATTAGATCTTCAATTTGATAATTATAACAGCTCGACGGTGGCCTTGCGGTGGCTCAACGGCTTCTTACGGTGGCATCTTTAATATTATTTGAATCCTAAAAAATCAATCAATGCGCAATATTTAGGGTTTTGGAAATCAAATTGGGGAAATTGCAGGAGAGAGAAAGAGAAAGAGAGAGAGAGTACCACAGATCAATGCATGTAGAAGGCGTTTTGTTGAAGATCGGTAATGGCGACGGAAAGCTTTTTTCATCTTTGATACCTTTGCAATAAAAGGGAAGAGGAGTAAGAAGCATATGAAAAATATAGAGATCTAGAGAAGAAGACGAAGAAAAAGGGAAGAGGAGTAAGAAGCATATGAACTATGAAGACTAAACAGTGAATAATGACGGGGAAGAGGAGAGAGAGAGTAGAGAGGAAAGAGAGAGGGGAAGGGCGGTGAGGTGAATGAGAATCAATGATATACATGGGCTAGGGTTAGGAATTAGACATGGGCCTAATTTTGGGTATTGAAGTTAAAAAAAAATTAATTTATAATTGAAACCGGGTACCCCGTAGGTACCTAGTCCGAAATTTCATGACCTAGTCCCGGAACCGGTTACAACCGGGTCCGATATTTTGGACCCGGTCCCGGAACCAGTGAGACCAGTTTCGGGTCCGGACCCGGCGGGTCCTAACTGGTTTTGCGTCCGGTACCGGGTACCCTGGGTCTTTGCTCACCCCTAATTCTAATGTGTGAAAGGAACAATTAAATAAAAAAAGGATTCTCTAGACCTTTTAGGTGATCAGATCAAACAAAAAATAATGTTAACCTTTTACTGATTCTAAGGTCCATTTCACTTGGTCAATTGGGTCAAAATCAAGGAAAAGTCAAAAATTGGATTTTTGGGTGTAACAATGATATCATCCATTTCCTTGATGATATCATCTACACGCTGGATGATATACTCTATTTGTTGGGTTTCGTGATGTCCAACATCAAGCAGAAGGAAACCCGCCCAAAATTCGCACACAAATTAAAGTAATTAAGCATGTATTAAAATCATAATCACATGATTAACAAGAAAAGAGAGAAATAATCATTACCCTTGAAGCGTGCTTCGCTCTCACTTAGAGCTCGGACTTGAAAGCGTAGAGTCCTGCAAATGCGCGAACCTCCGACAGCCTCGCTCCCCAAACCGAGTCGACCCTTACCCCGAAGCTCAGTTGGGGCTAGGCCAAAAAAAACTTAGAGTATTAGAACGAAGGTTTTCTCTTCTTGGAGATCCCTTCAAGTTCACCAACTCAAGTGAAAATCTCAATACCCCATGATAGGTATTTATAGGGAAGTCTCCTCAACAATTCCCATCATTTTTCAATGTGGGATAGTTGGTAAAAAGTGAGAAAAACATGTATTAATTTAATTCTAAATTAAATTAAATAGCAAAAAAATAATCATACAACACTTGGCACACACATGGGAGGGGTTAGGTGAGGACCACAAGGGAGGACCACATGACCCCTTGTTCCCCAAGCAAAAGCTCTCCCCCTCTAAGCATGCGCCATGTGGATGCCCTTTGCCTTGGGCAACAAGGGTGCCATGCAGGCAGCCCTTGAGCTCTCGACTAGGCCAAAAAGCACAGTAGGCCCGCTAGCTTGCTGTTGGGCGCTTCTCGCTTGCGGGCTGCCCTTACAGCTAGCAGCTAATGAGGCCTAGCTAGCTAGCGCTGCTAGCACGCATGCTAGCTTGGCCAGCACGCACAGCCCAGCATCACTCAGCCAGCTTGCTGCTCGGCCTATGCGAGGGCTTGTGCGGCGATAGCACGCCCAGCCTCGCATGCTCCGGCCAGCACCATGCTGAGCCTATGCAAGGGCTTGGGCTGCGGTTTGGCTTTGCCTCCACTAGAGTGGTGCGACAAGGCCTTATGCTAGCCTTGTATGTCATGTCGTTTGATTATTTTACGTCTCGTCGATTCTTTAGAATCGTCTTAACGATAGACGCTCGGCTTCGACGCTCTAAGCTCGGAATCTGACGTCTTAGTTCGTAATAACTCTATTGACTCATTTAATCCTTCGGATTAATTCGTCGTTTCGGTTCGATTACACGATTGGGTGTGACCCGAAGGGTTCAATCAAGATTAAGCTGTAATATTAATTATGCATTAATATTATTGATCGGAAGCGGCCTCCAGCTAGGCATTCCGATCACTTGACCTCACTAAATAATTAGCTTCCTAATAATTCCGAACCCTCTATCGGAATAATACACTTGTTCGAAGGACACCATTCCTTTCACTGTTATACCATCTATAAGTTGGGCTTGTTGTTTTGAGTCTTGCATTGCCTCACGAAACTATTGGTGAGGCAAGCCTCACGTAATAGTTTCTCATAGTGTTAAACTTCAAAATGAAACCAATAAAATGGAACATAGAGAATACAAAGGAAATGTTTGTAACTAATACATTGTCATACATTAGAGAGATGGAGAGAGAGAATTTATTTGTAGTGATTAAGATGGAGTGAGAGTTGGGTATCTATAGTAGATAGCTTATACTTATTTTTGGTTTTTTGAGATTTGATTGAGTTAGTAAATATAGCTTAATTATAAATCATAAGTATTTTAGTTGATTGGATTTTATTTTGGAAAATTTGTCAGAAAAAACTTTTTAAAAGCACCATTTTGTGAAAATAAATAAATAAATAAATAAACCTTTTAAAAATTTGTTGGTTAAAAAAAACCACCACATTCATTTTTTTTGTGAGAGGAAACCCATTTTCTTAATTATCCTCTAATTGACTAAATTAGACTCTAATTTCCTCCCATTTCTTCTAATTAACCTCTAACCCATCCAATTACTAAATAATTAGATTTAATTTATATATAAAAAAACCACCACCCAAACCACCAACCAACCACCCTTTCCCCTTCTTCCTCTCTTTCCCCCTCCCTTGGCAGCAACCCCCTCATCCACCGGACCTGCCGCCCAGACCCCCCACCTCTGGTGACCTACCTTCATTGCCGGTTGACCCTCCCTTTCCCC